AAAAAAAAAAAAAAAAATTTTAAAATTTACAGATACAAAAAATTAAAATTAGTTTTTTCCAAAGCACTTCCTTTGTTTATTGACGACCAGTAAAGATTAGCTTGAAAAGTGTGTATTAAGTGATAATCAAAAATAGTATCGTTCTTCTTCAGTTTATCGTTTTCAAATCATTGCATCTGATACTACAGAAAATGCTGAACACTCACGAAGTCGTCTGAAGTTTTCTGTAAGTGGCAAACGGAATATCAGATAACTTTTTTCATTGCATAAAGTTATATCTTTTCAACTGTTCCTGTTTTTTTTTTTGCTACTGAAACTTCAGTCAATTATTATGTTTAATTTAGCACAATAACATTTAGGATACTTTTAGACAAAATAAGGAGTTATATCTGTTAAAAAAAGGCAGTTTAAAAGTTTGCGTAGAAGAACAATTTTTATAAAGCAAATTTTTTACCCTTTTCTTCTCCTTAAAAGTAGCTGAACAATATCCCAATAACATAAAATTAAACTTTTTTTTTTAAAATTAAAACAAGAATGCTTCAATTGATGAGTTTCAGCTAATGCTTTTCTAAAAATTTTTTACCAATTGACTTTTGAAACTGTGTCTTTGCTATGCAGAAGAAAGAGACTAACTTTTCAATGTTCACTAAAATTATCTTTTAAATTGAAGCTGAATTTAAATAATTTGCTTGTTATTTGAACCATATTTGTTGTTCAAACTCTTTTGACAGTAATTTATTCCAAAATTTCTAATTGCTGTACTAATACTATCTGAAATGAGGCGAATATTTGTGAGTTGACAAAAACTTAGAGAAATAGTTATATCTACATAAGTTGTTCTCACATTTTTTTAGAGATATTCTAATATTCTAAAATAGTTGTAGTGAAGAGCTAACTCGATTATCGTATAATTAAAAAGCAAAATGTGTATTATTTTATTTCAAAAAAGCAAGAGCAAAAAGTAAGGTAAGAAAAAAATTGCCTTTTTTGAAGGTTATTCTTTGCTAAAGTTTATGTTCATTTATGTAACGAAATTACAGTCTGCCGCAGAATTTAGGTTGTACTAGAACTTTTATTTTACACTTCAATCAATGTATTTTCTTAAATATATTACTGTAATATTATAAAGACTTCAAATTCTTAAACAAAAAAATTTGTAACGTATTGTCAAACGATAGATACATTTGAATCAGAGAAACCAAAAGCTTTTCAGTTTAAATATTGAACAATAAAACTACTTTGGTTATATATGAAACTTTTATTTTTACAAATTTTAGTCTTGTACTTAGGGGAATGACTAGAAACACAACTTGCACAAACTTGACGATTTCGTACTGCACTTACAATAACTTTCATAATCTGTTTATTGTAAAGCACAAATTTTAGAGTCACTTTTAGTTAGTTAATGCACCTAGCAATATACCACAGCAACAACTGTTACTGAAATAAGCATAAAGTTCAAAAAATAAGTTTAGACATATATAACTGTCGTTGTACCAGTCTAATTCATAAAGAAGTTTTTTTTTTTTTTTGTTTAACCATCTTTAAATCAACGTTACCCATTAGCTGTAGTAAACTGAACAAACTTTCAGCAATAAAAAATATTTAAAATTTTGTTGAATGAATAAGTATCTGAGTTTCTGTTTGTTTGTCTGCAATCGAAGAACAGTAGTTCAGATTGTTGCATTTAAGTGTTATCTCGAGTGGCAACATTGCTTTGCTCAATTAATTAAAACTGTATGCAGAAGAGAAGTTTTCAAGTGTAATTTAGTTCTTCTGTCTGTTGCTTCTTTATCTATTAAATCGTATATTCATTAAACAGTGCAACATTGTCCGCATTGAGAAACACCAAATTATTATTTCTAGACGATGATATTGGGCAGTTTCTAAGTCTTGTTTTTCTGACTACTACATCATTATTTAGTAAAAAAATTCAAAAATTAAATTAGGGAAATACCCTACCATTATTGTTGATACAGAGTCCAGTTTATGAAACAAAAGACCATACTGTCTTTTACCCTTTGTTCCAAGTAAAATGTCTTTACGTAGAATTTGACAGATCCTGTCACAGTGTGGACAACAACGAGAACAGCGGACAGTTTAACTAAGTGTCAATTTTA